TTATTCGCGGATCTTTGTTAATTAAAATCTCAGTAACTATTGCGAATCTAGCAAAATGGTATAGGACTTTTAACCTCAGTTTTATTCCTTCTACCTGCCTACGAGAGATGTTAAACCAATTCTGGGACACCCTGTATATATATATATATATATATTGATAAAAGCCTAATCTAAGGCCGAAAACGTTCTATATTACCTTCTTGAATAAAGTAATGCTGCTATCACACATTATCACCAGTGTTTTTTGCTTCAAATGGCCATTATACTTTTCCTGTTCTTATGAGAATTTTTTTGAAGCGTACTATACTCCTCTTCTATTATTTTTTAAAGCCATAAAAAAAAAAACAATAAAACTACCGCGAATGTGCGTGTTTTTTTTTATTTATACGGAGATAAGAGGTTATATACTTACGAACGCTGTACTCCCGCAAGGAGTGAGCGGCCGCGTGACATCCTTGTACTATCGCTCGCGCCCAAGCTGCCAAGTCCCTTCGTGTTTCGGCCCGCAAATGGTGCGTAACCACACCGTCGATCGTGCCGACTCGAACCGCGAACGTCGCTCCGTGTTGAGTCGAGCCGCTACTGCTGCTCGCTACTTCGTTTTGTCGCGTCGGGGAGGAAACCAGTCTGCGAACATTCGAATTGAAGCGTCTTGTGAGTCGTTTGGACTTATTCTTGTAGAAATATGAAGGTACTAAAAGCTTCACAAGTGTTAAGCTCCGTGAGCCCTTTTCGAGTTCACATTTCACGCTATATAATTTAAAAAAAAAAAAAAAAACGCGCGCGGTGGAGTGGACGCGTTTTCTCTTTACTACACATATATATATATATAGCCGTGCATTAGATGCGATCCTCCGCTATCCTCGTCTCCTCGGATCGATGCGAGTTTTCAGAATGAAGATTGAAGATACTCCGCGGAAGTAACGAAAATCACGCGGCATTGCTTCACGGGGGATAAAAAAGCGGCGACCTTTATCGGAACGATTGAAGCGCCTTGTATCGAATCACGGCACGGGATTCATTCCCGTCGTCTCTTCATCCCTCTCCCAGCGGGTAGGTAAATTACCTCGTCATCCGGCTCGCCTCGCTCGTAAAATCGTCGCGGCTTTATTGCATGTGGGACGAGAACGCTGCAGCGTTCACCTGACACGGGTTTCGGCCGCGTATTCCACTTCCCCCCTCCCCCTCCCCGCCGCCACCCCCTTTTTTCCAGCCTCCTCCTCGAATCCATTCCCTCCCACCAATCTGCCCGCTGACGAATGGTCCTGACGTTCGCGAGCCCGCGCTAGATTTATAGATTTTTCCGAGGGACATTGGCGAGCACCGAAAAAAAAAACAAAAAAAACAAAAAAAAAACAAAAAAAACAAAAAAAAAGAAAGAAAATCAGAGTGATAGAAAGAACACCCCGGCGCAATGGAGGACAGAAACGGACGCGCTCACCTCAAAAAAAAAAAAAAAAAAAAATGGTCCACTTGGGCCGGAAAAAATATCCGACTCTCAAGCGTCAGTCGACGTGTGTCTAACAGTTTACCTCGGGGTCTTTTTCGCGCCAATGCTGATGGTTATCTACTGTGTGCGCAACGAGATGCAATTGGATTTCCGATACACGAGGTAGACAAGCGGGGCGCAACCTCCCAGATTGCTAAACACCGCTCTTCTTCCTCGTTCGAAGATACGTACTAAAAAGATTTTTGCGGGAGAAACAAGATTTTTAACGAGATCAATTTGAATAAATATTACAAACGTTGTCGGATCTTTGTTACGTCCGCGGAAAATATCTGGAAGATAATTCTCCACCATTCACCACAATAGATATTCCAGTTCAACCATTATCGCTTCACGCGCGCGCGCATATACGAGCTTGTCTCGCGTAGACAGTGAAAAAAAAATAAAAGCAATGGAGCAAAAAGCACGACTGAAGGAAATTCCGATAAGCGGGAGAGGAAGCTGCAGAGACAGCCGCAAACGGTAAATAAAAGCGTTAAACGAGAATGGATGTTCGTCGGCGGCCGTAATCCGACGAAAAAGCCCCGCAGGAAAGAAAGTTTCCCTTCGGGATAGCCGAATCACTTCCGGTTTGTCTCGCAGTAAAACTTCCTTAAGTCGGCCATTTCGCGTTCTCGCATCGGCCTTGATACCGGGCCCCTTCGACCGGAAATAGAGCTTTCTGACACGTTTCACCCCGTTCGTGCGCGCCTTCTTCTTCAAGTTTCTTTGTCTTTTCGCCTGATCGAAAAAGAAACTTTCGCGAGAGAACGATGTCTGAATGCACGACGATGGAAAAAGAAATGGCGACAACGTCGAAACGTTTCTTCTTCTCAAGCAAAATAAGAAATCTTCGTGGAAAACGGAAACGGACGATAGACCGGAGCGAATCATATAAGAATCGAATAGTTTATTTCGTAATAATTTTGAGGATGCCCGCAGTGTAGATAATTTGCTTCTACCGTGGACGCGTAGTTTGCTTATAGCATGTATTGTTTTAGTTAGCAAACCAAACAGAAACAACTCAAGTTTCATTGGCAACATGTATAACATTGACATTTGACTATCAGAAACAAACAAACACCATAGCAACTCTATCTCGAAACGCATTAACGAAACAAGACTGTCCCGAGTCAAAATTTTGATGCTACTTTCAAACTTTTGAAGATACTTTGAACCTATTTAGCTGACCAATATACTTATTTAAACCTACTTTGATGATTATATTCATTTACTTCTCTTTTGAACCTTTGGTAATTATGTAGAATAGAGGAGCCACCTCCGATTTCAATAATTTTTATATATGTTGTCAAGGTCATTGTCCCGAGTAATAATATGAAGGTTTTAGGCCGCGGTCGTTGTTTGTTTAGAAGTTACAGAGGAAAGAAGTCTACTGAACAATATGTAATTTTTGGACATCCTATATATGAATATGTGTTCTGCGTGTGTTTGGGCACATGTTTGTTTATACGCTTTTGTAGTTGTATCTTGAAAGGTCGTTTCATGGAAAATGCCTCTATGTTCGTGAAGAAAATCTTTTTGATCATTATTTGGCCGAATTTGCATTTAAGAAAACGTTGGATTTTGATGAACGATTGGACGCTTTTTTTGAAATAATGTCTGTAACAGACATTATTTTTGATCTCACGTACATTTCATTCGTGTTTCAAGCGTGTAGGCAGGGGAGGGCTGCGCCCCCCGCAGGGGGAGTGGCTTCGCCCCTCCCCCTGCTCCCCCCTCGAAAATCAAGTCGTTATTTTGTGGAAAATAACGACTTAATTGGATGAAAAAGGATGTCCTAACCATTGTGGAAATTTTGCGAGAGGGAATGCAGAAAGAAGAGTGTAGGTTAGGGTTAGGTTAGGTTTTTAGGGGTGGCGCAGTCCCCCCTGCCTACACGCTTGAAACACGAACAAAATGTACGTAGAACCAAAAAATAAGAATTCATTCATGAAACTTCTTCCTCTCATAACTTCTAAACAAACAACAACCGCGGCCTAAAACCTTCATATTATTACTCGGGACAATGACCTTGACAACATATGTAAAAATTATTGAAATCGGAGGTGGCTCCCCTATTCTACATAATTACCAAACCTTTAATTCTATAACATTTTTTAACATAAATTTAATTAACATAACATAAGCATTTTTTAACATAAATGTAATATAAAATATATGTGATTTAAATATAACATTGTTTGAAACAAAAAATTGCGCGTTATAAAAATGTACTTTAAATTATAAGAATAATAAAAAATAAATAATTACTAATAATAAGAGAAATATTTTTTTATCTATTGTTGCAGATACATTGCACTGCAATATTTCCAATAAAATAATAATTTAAACAAATAATAAATGAAATGTGTATAGGATAGTTTGAGAATAAATACATAAAAATAATCATATTTTATTAAGGAACAAATGGTCTTGCAGACTGAGTGCAGGGGCTGCAAATACGACGAAAGGTCTCGAATCCCCGTCAATCATCATTAGGATTGTTTCAGGTCCAGTCTCTTCCAATGAAGTTCATCGGTTGATTTGGCAAGCTGAATCGGGCCTCCAAAGATTAATTCGAGTGAACAATTTTTTTATTGAAGTTTTAGGCTTATTTAACCTAACAACATTTGTTAAATCTAAAAAAAACCTGTCTGTGTAGGTTCAATAAAGGTTTTAATTGAATCTATTTTACTACTTCAACTCCCACATAAATAGAACCTACTTTAAACCTAACTTGGAGAAAATGGAAATTTGTGACACTTTTAGGTTTAAAGTAGGAATAAATTTTATCCTTGCAATTGAACCTACTTTACTATCGTAACTCCTATTATATAGTAGAATGAGAGATTCATCAGAGGGTCAAAATTTCGACTCGGGTAACTTTGTTGAATTGTTAAGAGTTTTTTATTTTCTTACAATTGCTCTGTCGCAAAAGAGACGCTGTTAAAAAACTGTATGTCTTTTCGTGTTCTCAAGAAAGAGAGAGAGAGAGAGAGAGAGAGAGAGAGAGAGAGAGAAAATGACACTCGGGGATGGCCTATATATCCTATATATGTGTATATATATCGGATACGATAAAAACAGAGGCGCGGGCTCGTAAGCTGCCACGAACGATCGATGCCCGTTTCCCCGTCTGGCCTTTTTCACTTAAAATTTAAACGAGGCTTAGCTGGATCACCGATCATTCAAACAGCGTGACTGCTTGACACCGCATTTAAGCCGCTCGAAAACGCCAGGCTCATCGTTAAAAATGAACCTGACATTAATTCACAACAACGGCACGCGCGCGGAGTTTTAACGCGATATGAAATAATGCAACGGGACAGTTCCGACATGTATATCGCGATATATACATAACACCACTTTTCTCCGCTCCTCTTCCCCCTCGGGAGCGGCGCTCCATGTAATTTTTTTGTTTTTCAGTATATTTACAAAGATACAGGTTTTTTGTGTGGCATATATATATATTAAACGGTAATAGTTTCCAACTCGTATTATACACGCCGCGATAAATTTTACACGATTTTAAACGCACAACAACAGCTGGACGCAACATTTTGCGTATTGTTCGAAGAACAAACGTGCGTGTAGATGAATTTTTCGCAAATATTGTTTTCGCAATTTTCACATTTTTTGACATTAAATATATGTATATTTTTATTGCAATACTTTAATTCCCCGGGGCATGATTTAAATTGAAATAACACACGTTACCGTTAAAGTTAATATTGAAACACGCTATTACATAAAATGCAAAATTGTGAAATATATATATATGCGCATTAATGACTCTATTATTTATTAATTTATTCATCCTACTGATTTATTGTTACCAACTGACTTTTTACACGTACATATACATATGTGCGCGCGAATAAAAATGTCGTTGACCGCGAAAATTCGATTTCTCTGCAGAAATAAAACGTAAGAATATATACCGTTAAATCGCAGAATAAAAATCCGATTAAGATACGAGGACGATCTCGTCGCGATGATGACAAGTACCTATCGACTTTCGACGGGATCCCATTAGGCCGCACGGACACAGTCAGAGAGCGACCGGAGTATTTGCCGATCACCGGCGTGGAAATTCACCGTGAATTATCAATAATTTGATTTGCGCTATCGGTGCGTTTAC